GAGCTGCACTTGGGTGGACTCGCGCCTTCTCATCTCCTTCATAGAGTTCCCTTCACAAAGCAGAGCTTCCCAGTCTATCCCAGCATGTGACACATCTTCGTTTCTTCACTTTCTCTTGCTACTACTTCAGCATAGCTTTGGCTTTTCTCGCTGCATTTGGCAAGAGTTTATTTCTACACTTAAGTCGAGTTAAAACAGATTTACTCACAGAATCTTATCTAAATACGATGGTGGAAGTCTGTTGAAAAACAAGCCAGCCAAGTTGCATGTGTTTAAAAAAAAATGCTGTCATGACAAATGAGGGAAAAATTTATTTCCCAAGAAACAGCTTTAGAAAGCAACACTGCAAACTTTGTGCTTTGACTGGTGAGAGCACCGTGACTTAGACCTCGCTACTCCTACAGAATAAATGCCAATGTGTGTTTGTAGAACCAAAAAAATGTCTGCTGTGGTTACGTTGCGAGATAACCCGAATATTGTAGCTTCATTTAATCCACAGCTTGGGAAGTCTGCAGTGACCAAGTCTGGCTCCAGAAAAGTGGAAATGCTGCCATAATTACCAGTCAATATTGTTCCAAGGTGGTGCTGGTCTTTCATTTGCAGCAGTAATTTGATTTGCTTGGGCTCTTGTGGTCCAAAACACGTGGAACTGTTCTGATGAAGATCAGAACCGTGGTTTGGTACTGGTTTAAGGAAGGCAGGTACCTGAACACCCAGCTGGCACTTTTTGCATGTCTGTACTTCGGATCGATGTCTTTTTGAGTGCATCCACATCTTTCTGGGAAAAAGATTTTGTTTCCTTTCCTGCTTTCTGCATTTCAGGGCATCCTTTCTGTGTCTGCCCTCGATCCATTCTTTCATTGATACAGATCATTTTTTTATTATTGTGTTCCCAGCTGTCTTAACGCCTAAACAAAGGATTTGGATAAGTTCTCCAACTACACAAAAGTCGCAAGGAGATGGGTTAACCAAAGGTCCCCCTTCTTAATTGCAAGCAGTGTAATCTGTAGCTTAACCTGTCATTAATATTATTAGGGATTAGACAAGACGGTCATGGTTATTGTGCTGAAAGTTCTGACACAGCACAGGCTGTAGGGTTTCCTAGAATTTATGTCTTCTCATGAACACTTGCTTTCCTTGGCCACAGATCTGTGAGTTTTGCTCTGTGCTGCTTTTGAAAATGATTAACTTTTGTAGCGACCCAAACTCTGCTATCGTGGGGACTCTGCAGGCGGCCCCTGGTTGTGTTTGCTAACGTCTGCATTGCAGGTCTGAGCACAGCTAATGGCTGCAAGGAATGTGACTGCTGTCCTTTGACCGTTTCTAGCTGTGCTTCGACATCTTTTGTGTTTCCTCTGTTTGTTCAGCAGCTCATACGAACTGCTTGGAGTTTCCAGTGCTATCTGACTGCGTAGTCTAGTAATTAGATGGTGTAAAGTACTTAAAATATTACACAAATATGTCAAAACGTATTAGCAGTACAAGTGCAACTTACTGCTGCTGTAAGTGGGTTTCATATGCTGTACTAGAATCCAGCTCTTGTGATTTATCGAACTGCACTAAAGTGAAGATCACCAGGAATGAGGTGATTAGCATCAGACTGCCTTTCTGCACTAAGCATGTGTATTACCATGATAATGTACAGAGTGAAGCATATAAATCCCTTCTCACCTAAAATCAGAAGACAGCCTGGAATAAAACTCAACAAATTAAATTTCTTCATATTTGTTCAGACCTCATCACTCTCTACAACTGCCAGAAAGAAGATGAGTGGGGATTGGTCTCTGCTCCCAGGTAACAGCGATAGGATGAGAGGTGATGGCCTCCAGTTGCACTGGGGGATATTCAGGTTGGGTATTAGGAGAAATTTCTTCTCCAAAGAGTGATGATGTGTTGGTTGGCACAGCTGCCCATGGAGATGGTGGGGTCACCGTCCCTGGAGGTGTTCAGGAACTGTAGAGATGTGGCACTGAGAGTCAGTGGTATGGTGGGGGTGAGCTGATGGGTTGGACTTGGTCATCTTAGTGGTCTTTCCCAACCATAATGACTCTCTGTCTTGTGGTTCACCATCTAAGGTGGACTTTCTCCATGGTGGTGTTCCCACAGACATACTTGTTTGTGGGACCCCCCATAGTGGGGACATCATCTGGGCTCCTGGTGCTCAGGGGAGGCCTGAGGAACAAACACCTCCAGGATTTGCTCCTGGTGCCCACTTCACTGGAACACTTCCCTGCTTGCTCGCTTCTCCTACAGAGACTTAAGTGCTGTTTGCAAACGGGAACGATGCTGTTGCTGCATCCTACACATGCTTTCCTCCTCTGTGCAAGCTCGGGTATTGCTTAAATACACAGTGTAAGCACTGCAGTTTCAAAGATCTAATCTAATAATAGATTGGTCTACATTTGCTGCGTTGCCAGAAAAAGACATATGTTGTCAGGCAGTCGAAGTCAGCAACAGCACTGAAATGCAAATGTGCTGAAACATGAAGAAGGCAGAAATCCAGAAGGATCTATCAGAGGTTTGGCTATTAGGGAACTAAAAATATTTTCTTCTTTGCATATATGCTTTCCACACGTACTTAGAGAAGTACTGTTTGCCTGATGTCTCAACGTGGTTAAAGGGCATTTCCTTTCCTTCCTTGGCTTTGGTGTGAGAGTAAGAGTTGTTGATGTTCAGCTTTTCTAAGAGGAAGGGGATGGTTGGAAGAGTTTGAATGGGAGAGGAGCATGTAGTGTGGCACAAGAGAAGAAATACAGTATTGGGTTCCTTCTGGCACCGATGCTTTGAGGCAGTGGGCACAGGTCTTTACACGGCCTGTGCTGGGACGCAGGGTTATAGGGTGAGGACGTGGGCTTTGGTTGCATGCAGTAATAACTTTCTGTGCCATATTTTGTCACACAGTGTTTGCAATTTCATTTTTAGCTTTTCCCTGGGGAAGAAAAAAAAAAATGCCAAATTGGTTTGAACGATGTGAATGTATAGCCCAAGAAAGGATGGTCTTTTGTGGGCTGCTGGAGAGGCTGTGCTGTTAAATTCACAGCTCTCTGTGCTGCTGACCTTTTTGCAGGATTGCTGTGAGGTGGGGATTGGGCTTGGTGCTGATGTATGAAGATGTGAGGTTTTGACACACTTTCTGAGCCAGCAATTACGGGATTTCATCTGTACATATCCCTTAAATATCATCATTTTTAGATGTGCACTACGAAAATGGCATCTGTCAATGCTAATACTTTTTCTGCCAGGTCAGTGTGCACACAGACATGTATTACCTTTCTGGAACAGAATTGCTCTATAAATATCATTGCAGATCAGAGAAAGGTAGTTTGGGGATTTGAGGGGTTCATTTTGTTTTTCAATATTAATGTTTCTTCCTAGCTCTCCCCTGGTCAGCATGCATGTGAGTAGACGGGCTGGTATGGCGAATAATTTCATTTCAGCAATGTGTCCAGGGAATTCACCCCATAATTGATCAATGCTGATCTCTCTGGGGAGCCACCTGGAGCAGAATCCCAGGAATCCTTGCCACCCAGATCGCCTGTCACAGGTTGCATCCTCGTGCAGTTAAGCAGTGAGAATTTTAAAAAATGGGCTACCACTGCTTTCTGCTTCTCTTGGCACAATTCCTGGAGCGAGTTGAGTTAGTAAATGTGGCTGTCACAGTAGCTATTACCAATGACACAAAATAATTAAGTTGTGGTTTCTGTTGTGGTGGGGTCGCTGCTGTATTTTATAGTGATACATCTGTGCTAGGAGGGAGGATGTCATGCTTGATTGTCGTGACGGATGCTTGTAAGGAAGCGGGATGAGTCTGTAAAGGCAGGTTGTGCAATGCGTCCATTTACGTGGCACCCTGCGGGCTGCATGCAGGTCACTGATGGAGCTGTGTGTTGTTTCTCCTCGTTTCCCCAGTGAGATGATAGAGAGGGTGGCAGCCCTCTCATTTCTCTTGTTTTGGGAGGGGGCATCTTTTTTCAAGCAGACGTTGCTGTGCTGTACTTCGGTGCATGTCAGGAAAAAATTCCTTCAGCTGTCTGTGATGTGAAACCTTAAGGCTGAGGCTTTTTTTATTGGTGTCTGCAGTGGAAGAATCTCATGTCACATTTGTTTTGTATCTGGTGGTAGGGGTGACATTGTGTGCAGCACTGAAGGAGGTGGAGAGGCCGTGATGTGTGTGGTCTGGGTATTAGAAGATGAGCACACAGCAGGGACAGCAGGATACTAAGGCATTAACTTCTTGGGTTGGATATTAGGAAGAACTTCTCCAAAAGAGTGGTGATGCATTGGCACAGCTGCCCAGGGAGGTGGTGAGGTCACCATCCCTGGAGGTGTTGAAGTAGCATGGAGATGTGGCACTGAGGGATGTGGTTAATGGGCAGTATTAGTGGTAGGTGGATGGCTGGGCAAGGTTATCTTAGAGGTCTTTTCCAACTTTAATGATTCTGCGCTCTTGTGCTTGGTGGCTTGCTGCCATTTTTCTCTTCACCTTGAGCTCCTCTAGGAACAGAGGCTGCCATCTGAATGAAGGGACAGGGACCGAACTGGGAATCAAGGTGATCTGGCTGAGAGATCTGCCTCCAAACCTCATTGTGTCAGGAGGCTTTGGAGACAAACATGGAAGGTGAATGTGTGACTCATGGGGAGGCTTTTGAAGGTGTTGGAGCGAGCAGGCAGTGAGCAAAAAGCCTTTTGGTGTAACACAGCAGCTCCTGGGCTGTGACAGAACGCCTTAAGGGATGTGGTGATTAAGAAAAGTAACTAATAACTAAATCATAAAAATAATAAGTGTTTTACCAGCTCCGTTGTACATAGGCAGGCAGCAGGGAATGTGGGTCACACAGCGTGAACAGCTGAGCCAGGAATAAAATCTGTGTCTGTGAATGCCTTGGGCTGCTCTGTGCAGCCAGCCAATGGCTCTTTCCCCAGCACTACCTATTTTAAATGGAAGACCAAGCTCTGCTCACCTTGCTACCTAATCACATTCCACTGTTTGCCTTTGCCAGGTGCAAGTTCTTCAGCCTCACGGAAACCCCCGAGGACTACACCATCATTGTGGATGAAGAGGGCTTCCTAGGTGAGTGCCAACGTGTGCCTCTTCAGCATCCAGCCTGGGGCTGGAGGAGGAAAATGTCATTTCTTGCTGAGATCGTAAGGTAAAGTGTTTGTAAAACAGGGCTGTTTGTCAGTGCTGGTGGTACAGCTATGAAAGGTGCTTTGATCACTTAAGCACGCTGTCTGTGCTGCTGTGCTGTACAAGGTGTCTCGCACACAGAACATGAATGTATTTTAATGCCGAGAGAAGAACACACGCAAATCTCAATGAGCAGCCTAAAGATATTTGAAAAAGCAAAGCCATCTGGTATTATCTTGTTAAAATTGTCTTTTGTGCCCAAACCTCTGTGAGCACACCACATCTCACGTCTCCAACTCGTTCCTCCACTCTACCTTTATAAGGAGCTCTTGAGGATGAGCACTTTGCATCATCCCCATGCCCTCCCAGCACCCATAGAGTTGTGCATCAGCTACTTTGGTTCATCACTGAAAGCTGTGACTTCTCCCTGTTCTCACCCACCTCTCCCCAACTCAACGTACCATCGTTGCCATGGGGTGAAGGGCATGATCAGTGGACCGTGGTGAAGGACATGGCTGATGTCACTGGTGGAGCTGGTTGGTTGGGTGTCAAGGAAGGTGGCTGGTGTGTGCTTGGTGCTGCAGGCAAGTGCTGATGGAGAGAATAGTTTGGCTTTGCAAACGGAAATAGTTTGTAATATCATTTATTGTGTGGGGAGGTTTTGTTTGTAGGAGCCTTGTTGAGATGGTGGAATGAGGAAGTGTGCAATTATTATTATTTGTGTTCAATGGCTGCTTTCTGTGGTTGGGATTCAAAGTCTACACATATTACCGGTTTGGAGAAAATTCATTAAAATATGAAAGAGGAGGATTTCATTCCTGGATGGGAATTAACTGTCAATAGCTGCTTGCGACACTGTGACATTCAATGGTTTTGTCATATCTAGATCCTGAGGAGAAAATTAGAAACTATTTAGTACAGAGTCAAAGTTTTATAATCAGTGTCATTGCTGAATTATTCCCCTTTCTGTTTCAGGAGTACTCATAAACATAGGATAAATTGCTGCATTTTGGAATACAATAATGGTGGATTGAACATAAAATAATCACTATGTTGACAATAGGTGAATGGATCTTTACAGCTACTGCTGTGAATTGGGAGTAGCAGGGTTTGCTTGGAAGTCATACTGCTGTGAGTTGGGAGTTGTGAGGTTTGCTTGGAAGTCACATGTCCTGACTTTGTTCCCAAAAGAGGGGTTGACAAATGATCCTCCTGCCTGCATCTCTCTTGTTGTGCTTGTTCAGGTGGCGTATGCATGAACCTTTTATTGCTGCTATTGATAGTATCGGCCTTTCTATTACAGGTGGCAGCTGGGGGAAATCAATTCAAATTTGGTTTCCCCATTATAACAGGATGCAAAGCGTTCCTCTAAGAGCTTAATAATAACAGAGGATTCACCAAAGTAAGAGGAAAGTTGTTTGTTTTTTCTTTTTCCTAAGTACTGCACTATGTGGCAGAGCTTTTCCCAGTTAATACAAATAGATTCCTCAATTCAGTCACTGGTGGCAAGCCTGGATGGCCAGCAGCCCTGCACAGCCTTTGCCATTGCCAGTCCATGCTGTTATTTATCTCCCTGGAAAGGACTCTGTCTTGAAACGAAGGTAAGCTCCAGCAGCAATTTGCTCATCAGCAGTGAGGTTGTGTTGCTCTGTGTGTCATTGGTTGTGCTTAGAGCAAATCCTGGGGCCAGGATGCCATGTCCTTGTGGGGCTGTGTGTCCTGCTGCTGCCCTGGGTTATCTTTGGGAAGCAGACAGTGCTGTCGTACTTCAGAGCAGCCGTCCTCTCTGCTTGGACCCGTCTGACTTTGTTGCCTTGGCTGTCATATGTACGTGAATTTACTGCTGATGCTTAGAGTAGCCTTGGAGCTTCCGTTGGGCTGTGGTTTTGGCAGCGTGTCACATCCCTTTGGTCAGATGTGCAGTGTGCAGATGGGGTGTTAAAGCAGAGCTTTGCAGGAGCAAAGATCATCTTCCAGGCAATGCAGGGGAAGGAGGGGGTGCACTAAGGCCAGTGAGCCAGGTGCACGAATCAGCACAGCCAACAGTGTCACAGGACAGCAGCTTCATCACCTTCTCTTTGCTGGGAAGTGTGGATATGATGGCAAGTCTTGCATTGTGTGCACCCTTCTAACTCTCCTAACAACCCCATTCCTGTAGGGAGTCCAAAATCTTTCAGAACTGTCACCACCATGTTCAAAGCTTCTTTCTCAGGGTCAGCCCTGCTAGGATCCCCGCTGTTGCTCCATCACAGAACGGCCAGGGTTGGAAGGTACCTCAAGGATCATGAATCTCCAACCCCCTGCCACACGCAGGGCCATGAACCTCCCCATTTAATGCTAGACCAGGCTGCCCAGGGCCCCATCAATCTGGCCTTGAACACCTCCAGGGACGGGGCATCCATTTCCACGTGCTGCAGTGTTTCACCATCCAGAGGAAATCAGAACCTTCCTCTCTCAGGCACCTCTACAAATTTTTGCAGTGGCAGCAGCAAGAAGATTGCCCTGCTGGCCAGTGCCTGCCAGGTTGGCCAGGCCCCTTGTCCTACATAGCACAAACAATACTGGAGGGAGAAGAAAGCTGGGGAAATGCTGGCACTTCCAGCAATCCTTGAGGTTAACACTTCAAACGCACTGACGTGCAGTAATCATTCTTAACTGTTTTGTCAAAAAATAATCCTCAGGCTTGTTTCCCTGCAAGAAACAAGTGAGTTGGGCTGGCAACTGAGTCATTATTTCTCCTTCCCAGAAAAAATCCACAGTGCAAAGCTGTAACCTGCTTAAGCATTCCTTGCTCTGGAAGGGAACGGCCACAGCCTAATTCTTTGCTTTAATTCCTTGCACTGAGGTGGGGGATTAGATCTGCACAGAACCTCATTTGTTCCAGTGGCCATTTCTTGGACTTTGGCCTGCTAATGGGGAAGAATTCTATGCAGCAAAGTTACACTGGGACAGTGCATAGAAGTGTCCTTTCATGGCAGGTGCTGGGATGGATTGGCAGAAGGGTTTTGTGTGGGTCCTCCTGTGTGAGGGCAGTGGTCTCAGTGACCATGTTGCACAGATGTGGCTTTGGGGGGCAGGTGGGGTAGCAGCATTGTTCAGTGATATTCCCAGCAGCTATCTTGTTGCATCTTCTGTACCTATACCCACAGGACCTTTTATTGCAGGGAATGGGGCAGTTTGGGTACTTTGTTTTTCTCATCTTTTTTTTTGATGCTGGTTTCTTCAAATTGTTTGTTTGCAGTTCTGCTTATCCTTTGGTTTTTTTCCTCTTGGAAATGCACTGCTAGGTTCAGTGATAGTTCTGATTTGGCAATGCCATTCATCTAGCCTCTCCTTTTATATAATGTCTCTGACTGTAGAGCACAGTGTGAAAGGAAGAACTAACACTCTTCCAGAGCTGCCTTCAGGACTACAACACAAATGAAGGAACAACACACCAAGGGTAGCCTGTATAGTTGATAGTTGCATGAAGGTGAGAGGTGTCTGTGGGTTACTCTCAGGTATTTCTTTGTTGCATCTCTTGCATTTGCTTGAAACAAAGCTGGACAGTTGGAAAGGACCTTCACAGAGTCAACACCGCTGGGACCTAAGGGAGAAGGAGCTCCTCTGTTGTGCCACCTTTGGGGCATGATAGTCGCTTTACATCTAGAAGGCAGCAAGATCTGCTTTCTCAGTTTCTGTTCCATTTATGATGGTCCCTTTTTAAGACCCCTGGAAAGGCAGGGGCTGGAGTTTGAAGGCTTCCTGGGAGCACACAGAGCCTGTTGCTGCACTGACCTTGGACTCTCCATATCCCTATGATGGAATTCATCTGCAAAGAGGAGGTAGCAGTCCTTCCTTTAACCTTCCTGGGCTGCCTCAAATGGACAGCAATTTCCTTAAGGCCAGAATTCCGTGTATTTGCACAGCATCTCGAATGAGGAGGTTCCTAATCTCAGTGCAGACCTCACAGTAAATTGCCCAGTGCATTAAGAATAATGGAACTGTTTGGAAAGAAAAACTCTACTAGCTGAAGTGGCCGAGAGATTTTGTCAGAATTCATAAAATGTTTACCTCGTTCCAATAAAAAGAAAGGATGAAAAGGAGAAAAGCCCTCCTGCTGGCAGCGCTGTGTTTTGATAACCATCATCCTCAGACAACCTGTTCCCTGTCTGACCTTGGATTCAGGACCATCACATACTTTAATACTACATTGAGTTCCCTTTTTCAATAACATCAAAATGGTAAATTGCTTTCAGCATTTTCTCTTTCATCCTGTATATAAAATGGGCAAGAAATCAGCTTATAAATAAGTGCAAGCACAGAACCCATCTAGCTGGGAGCAATCTGTAACTTTATTTAAAGATAGTGGGGGAAGCAAGCTATTAGATGCATCTGTTTGGTTTGTTTAATATTTCTCCTATAACTGTTTTTCCTTTAATTTTTTTACTGCCCAGTGACTGGGCCTTTGTATCTCAGGCATGATGGCTTAATTTGCCTGCTGACATTTATAGCACTGAATTCCTTCCCCTGGCCCGCCAGGAGAGCTGGCTGGTTGCTAGGCAGAAGATGTTTTTCTCTATTAAACACGTGCACAGTCGCTCTCTTTCGGATCTCTGTATTGGCCAGACTGTACTCTGTGGTGTTCAGGTTGTTTGGTGTTTTTCAAGTAATGTGGTATTAATGACCTAAATACAAATTAAAAGCATGGGGACCTGACTGGCTAATGAGAAATACGTGCTTGGTTGGGAAGGATTTTACTGCAGTGCTGATGCAGATCAATATGCATGTTAGGGGGCTGTGATGATGTGGGATTTCTGCCCTCTCCTGAGAGGCAGGGAGGTTTGGTATTACAGTTTTTGGGGGAAGGGAAGGAAGGATAAGAAGTGTGTCATATTCCAAGGCCTGGTTTGTGTCACTGGGTAGAGGAACATCACTGCGCACACACGAGTGAGTTTGCACAT